TAGGAAAAGGAAAGGACAAAAAATAAAAAGGATCGTCAAAAGTTAGGGAATGTTATTAGGTAGATAGATGGTACGTGCCAAGCGTGACATTAACACCCGGATTACATTCTAATTAACAAGGAGTTTGTCGTATGTGACCGCTCCCTAATCCGTTTACGAAAATTTCAATTTCTCGGCCGCACCTAAGTAAACCGGATATCCCACGATTTCGACCGCACGTTCGCTAGAAATTCGGCGATCACGTCGCCTGAGTGCAAACTACCAAAGAGAAAGAGAGAGAAAGAGAGAGAGAGAGAGAGAGAAAGAACACAGACTTTGTCTTTCGATTTTCGCAGACAAAATTGTGCCGTCGGAGATTAAATCGTTCGCGAAAGAAGAGATTAAGGCTTTTCATAGGTCCGCGTAGACTGGGAAGATTATCCTAGATATCTATTCTTTCACTCGATCCTTCTTTTCTTAAATCAGAACTTTCTCAAGAGTTTCTGATTATTTTACAGTAAGATATACTCGATAAATACTATTGAAAATAGAAAGAAAAACAAATAACTAGTCGAGATAATACATAGAATATAGACACGAGATACGAGACTTTAGTATAAGAGATGTATTATCGATTATTATGATACGATTGTTATTATTATCGTCATCTTTTATCTACTAGTCTTATCGGATGATCTTTACTTTCTAAAATAGGTTCAAACAAATTCCAAAATAATCCAACAGTCCTGCATTTTTTGGTTTAATTTTATTATTGAAAAAAATAGTCTCTCTCTTTCTCTCTCTCTCTCTCTCTCTCTCTCTTTATTTCCAACACGTTTACTATTAAACGTCAAGATGCGTACATTGAACGTCAAGGCTTTGCAACGAGATAGTACCTGGCGCGCGATATCTCCGACGCATTATGGCTGCACGTGCACACAACCTAAAGAGAGATTACAAACTGGTATGTATGGTCCAGCACACTGTTGCACGTAGCTCGATTACACGACACTCAACACACGCGCGCAAGAAAGAAAGAGAGAGAGAACATTCGAGTCGATACGGCAAACCTCCCTTCCCTCTCTCTCTCTCTCTCTCTCTCTCTCTCTTTCCCTTTTTTATCAACACGAACCTCTTCCCTTTCGATCCTCCAACACTCCCCTCTCATGATATATAACGTGAGGAAGAGAGAAAGAGAGAGAGAGAGAGAGGGGAGCTCTCCTCGTGAAACTGCACGTTCAACTACGTAAGTTACGCACACAGACGCGCGCGTGCGTGTTTAAATGTCGTGTGTATGCGCGCGCGCACTTTACGAGTACGTGTATACAATCACACACAAACATTGTTCATGATTTAGTCAAATATTGGTGCGATACACAGCTTTGTAGTACCTCACGATAGGAAGGAAGGAAGGAAGGAAGGTAGGAAGGTAGGTAGGTAGGTAGGTAGGTAGGTAGGTAGGTAGGTAGGTAGGTAGGTAAGTAGATGTATACGTAGTTATATGCCTAACGATGTATATCATACCAAATAATCCACGCTAAATTGCACCTAGATCGTCCAGCCGTTAACTATGTAAGACTCATACATTGCAGTCGAATCAAATATCCAACATTGTTATTGTTTGCTCCATAAAAATATACTTACTTGGGAAAATTCATAGTATCGAGTAGCTCGTCCGTTTGAATTTTATTTCAAAGATTTTGTCATCTCCCTCTCTCGAGTTTATATCAATAAATATAGAAATATATTTACTTAGGAGTACGCGCGCGTATGTCTTTATGTAAGTATTTATCTATTTATTATATATAGATATATAGTCATCGCGATAATGACCCGTTAGATCTTTGTAAAACAGACGCTATCTTTTATCTTCTCTTTCTCTGGATACTTAAAATCCGAATTCGAATTTTCATGTAAACATTCCCTTATACGAAATAACTAACAAGCGATTCTGTTTCTAATGAGCATAGCCCATCGATTGTATAAAGTAATAGCGAGATTAGGTCATTTACACAAGATATTTGATGGCACTTATCCGACAAAAGGCTCTATGTCAACGAGCACATCTTCGAGTGCTCGTACAAATGTATCCGAATGGAAGTTAAATATTATCGTATAGACAACCACTTCATTTGCGCATCGCGCGCATGAATATTTTCATTTCAAACAGGACGATAAGAACTCTCTGATTTGTCTATGCGCGTATGCAGCTACATGCCACGGGATGTTTTCTCTCTCTCTCTCTCTCTCTCTCTCTCTCTCTCTCTCTCTCTCTCTCTCTCTCTCTCACTCTCTTTTCCGGTATTTTAACTAAATAGATATCATCTAACGAACACGATACAAAAACACTCTGCGATACACCTGTTCATAATTTATCTTGTTTTTTCATGGATACTCACTTGTCCTATTTGTATTTCCAATATTCGTCTTTGATTTGGATCGTATCTGAAATGAATTAATTATAAACTCTGAATAAGTAGGGTTCATCACACTCTTGCTAATCGTCTGGGCCGTATCGGAACAAATAAACGGATTTTCTCTTGAGCTGTGTATAATAAAAATGAATATAATATACACTAGTCGTACAAAAAAAACTTCCTTCCCCTCTCTTTCCCTAATCAAACTTTGAATCACCCCAAAAAAACATTGGAGATATTTTCACACGAGATATCTCGATGATCGAGGAAACTTATTTTCTACCTGTAAAAGGAACAAATAAAAGATATAATTCGGCCCAGCCACTATTTATATACGTTCAGTATAGGTAACGTACAATAAATTTAGGAAATGGATATTAAGAGATAGGAAACATTGTGGTGTGTATGCGTGAGGATGCGTCTGTGCCGTGTAAAAAATATGTAAACTGATCAAATTTCATAGAAATACGTTGCTTTATTGAAACACTTACATCTTCGATTCTCGTCGTTTCGTCCTAACCGCGATAATATTACTTTCTTTTTTTTTTCTTTTTCTTTTTTTGTCCACCTCGCTATTTATCAACAACCCTTATCGGTCGGACCAACGACGTTCGAAGGTTGCGTGACGTACGGGGGGGATTCGCCGTATGTGAAACTGTAATGCAATACCATGGAAGGGAGATGAATTTCTTAAGAAAGGAAAAAAGAAGAAAAGAAAACGACGAATAATAAGAAAAAGAAAAAAAAAAAAAGGAATGTAAAATAATCTATCGAGCAGCACGAATTACAGCCGAGGGAAGAAACTTTCGTTGAAATGGTTGATAAAAAGGCGGAGGGCAAGGCAAGTAAGAGTGAAAGCATTTTTAATATACAAGTGTATGAGATTTCGTCGTTCTTTTGAGATTTTCAATTTCGTATGCCTCCTCCACTCGAGATCTGTCGACAAGGTTCGTTCGTCCTTGATTCTTCCATCGGCCGAATTCTCTCGAAATAATTAAACAATGATGATGCGAGACGGCGAGACGTAATACGGTATTAAAATAAAACAATCAAATTATATAATAATTGCAGTGATACTTATAATAATAGTAATAATAATAGTAATCATAGGGACAATAATAAGAATAAAAATGACAATAATAATAATAATAATAATAATAGTAAAAATAATAATTATAATAATAGTAATGATAATAATAATAGTAATAATAATAATTATAATAATAATTTGTATTATCATAATAATAATTATTATAATATTTATTTGTATTNTCCAACCTAACCAGCCAACTTCTGGTTGACTGCTACGAGCTATTACCGCTCCATTGTTTACATGCCTTAAAATATTAATTTTTATTATAATAATAATAATTATTATTATTATATTATTATTACGATGATGAAGAGATGATAATAATAATAATACTAATAATTATAATAATATTCAGGAGGAGTGATCTCTTGCGATACGCCAGTCGTTATGTACAGATTTCTATGTGCTAGACGCGTATTTCAAAAGTGTCATTTTTTATTATTATTATTATTATTAATTCTGACGATTAAAAAAAAAGATCCCTATGAACTTTCTTCAACAGATCTGTGCGAATGTAAGCAAGGATAAAAAAGAAAACATAGCGCGTGAATGAAAAAATTCTGTCTTCTCTATCTTCATATATACTTTTGAAATACGCGGTTACAGTGCATTGCGACACCGTTTTCTTTCTCACTTGCTCGTTCACTCTTTCGTTCTTTCGTTTTCTCAATTGATCTAACTCTTTTTCTCTCTCTCTCTCTTTCTGCATTTCTTTCACACACATCAGCGTACACACACACATACATACATTTTTATATATAATATGTATACACCTAACATTATTTATCATTAAAGATTCCATTTATTTTTATATATATATTTTTTATATTTGTATTTATTTAATTATATATATACCTCTCTGTAACATAGAATATTGTACATTATACGTGTTACACGTTGTCGACTATCTACACGTATCATACAAAAAAACACTGAACGTATCCTGCGCGACGCATTCACAAGAAAATTCATTCTTGAAACGTTCGTGGGCGAAAACATTGTTATTTTAATCGTCCATCACATTCGAAAAACGTTTTATGTTATATTATATTTCATTACTTTTATCATTATCTTTATCTCTTTCTTTCATTCTTTTTTTAATATTTCTTTTATATCCGTTTGTTGGGACACGCGCGAGAGAGGCTTACGCACGCACGTATGCACGTACGCATGCACGTACGCATGCACGTACGCATGCACGTACGCATGCACGCACGCACAAGTGGACGCATTTAAAATGCATATAATCGTCCTCGCGAGTATACGTTCGCTAATTAATATTTAATTTCGCGGATTATCACATTTTTGTCGCCCTGTGCCGGCATATCACCCACCACCCTAATTTTAATATTCTCCGTCATTATTTAAACAGCACCGCAGCCAACAACCTATCTTTCTCAGATTTATTCTCTTTTTTTCTTGTTTATTTTTTTTTTATACACGCTTCCTCTTCTACTTCTTCTTCTTCGTCGCCTTCCGTTTCCTCCTCACATTTTTATTCTTCTTTTGATTTTTGTCTTGTTCTTTATTTATCTTTTCTTTGTATATTTTTCTATTTAATTAATTAATGAATTAATTTTTTGAACAGTTGCTTCGTGTCTCCGACCGATTGTGAATTATAATAATTGTATATTTGGTATGGACGATACACACCGTATATTCACGATCTCGTTGTACCAACGTTTAGGTTTTATAACTTCTACGAGCACGCTTAAAAAGATAACGGCTTCTGAACGACGGCCGAACGATGATATTATGTAATAATGATCGATAAACTCACCGAAACGTTATAAATACATAGGCGTACAAGGTAACATTGCTCAAGTTAAATCCTCTACCTCTCTTCATTTTCTTTTCGTTTATTTTTCTTCTTCTCCCGCTATCATTACGATAATGCTTCTTCGATAGATCTTAGACGACAACAGCTACAAACATTGCATATGTAATTCAACGTCGAATCATTTCGAAGATGCATCCTCGTGCGAACGAACTCGAGCGAAATTATTATTATTATTATTATTATTATAATAATATATTATTAATATTATTTATTTTATATTCATCCTTTTTGTTTTTCTTCGTTTTTTCTTCTTATCGCCATTGATTTCTATCGAACGTTTGATCGCAAAGAGCGATAACAATATAAATCGTTGATTTAACATATACCTTAAGATCATCCACCACGATATACGTTGAAAATATGCGGTAGTTTAGTATTAGTAGTAGTAATAATAGTAGTAGTAGTAGTAATAATAGTATAGTAGTAGTAGTAGTAGTATTAGAGACCGATGGCGATAAGTGTGACGCGCGAAATCGAGATCAACGACCGAAAATAAGCGAGCGTGCTTTTCTAAACACAAACGATAATAAATATACGTAGAAAATAACTAATCGGTAAATGATTTCTTGATCGAAAGATTTCTTGTCGCTTGATAATACCAATCGTAATATCGATACTCGAACATCGCATTCGCTCGAAGTTACGTTCAATGAAAAGCTTCCTTTTTCTTTTTTCACGCATCGTATACGCAAAGCATCGCACACATTTTCCCATACTTTGATATATATATCTATACTTATAAGTGATTGATTAGAAAATCATCGAGACAAATGATAGAGAAAGAGAAATAAGTTTGAGCGGAAAGTCGAATGAAAATGAAAAATTTTTGAAAAAAAAGAAACGAGTTAAATAATTGTCGAAGAAGACGAATCGCGATCGATGGTCAGTCAACTCTCGATCGTTTAGTTTGAAAGTAAAGCACACTACGAGCTTCTTTTCTATTTAAATTCTAGCGTCTATAAGAATCGTTGTATACCACTCCATGCTACGTAAGTACAGGATCGTGGACGGAGGCTCGAGGAACGATTGTGCGCGAAATAAAACTATCGCAAAAACTATAAAGCATCGTCTGCATTATCGGTTAAATGTAATCGCAGTGGCAACAACGTTTTACTTCTTTTATTATTATTATTTTCTTCTTCTTCTTCTTCTTCTTCCTCTTTTTCTTCTTCTTTATCATCATCATCATCATCTTCTCTTCCTCTTTTTCTCTTTCTTGTTAATTATTATTAATATTAATCTCTTGGTTCGACTAACCGTTAAAATTCTTTATTAAGCTCGCGTCAAAGCATATTCTTCTTCGTCTCGTCTCGCGTGTAAATATAGAATCGAAAATATTGTCCTCGCAATAATATCCAACAGGGTGAAAACATAAATAACGTTTTCACGTTTACGCGACCAATACAGTGATATATGTATAGATATTTATCGAATATCGATGTTCGAAGCTAATCGGTCGCATATCGGAGAGACACTTTCGCACCGTTTCTTTTTTTTTTGGTTTTGCCATTCGATTGCAATTTGCAATGTATACATTTATCGATTAGACGTACGCACCCATGATCATTAATTATGCCTTTAAAATTCCATAGTAGTAGTAGTAGTAGTAGTAGCAGCAGCAGTAGCACCACCTTCGTCTTCGTCATCATCACTACCACCCACCACCACCACCACCACCATCATCATCATCAACACACACCCTGCCGCGAGTTAGCAACTCGAACGTGCGTGAATCAAAGTCCAAGGCTTTTTCACTTTTTTTCGCGAGGACGAGGAAAACTATTAAGGAAAGCAAGGGAAATAAATCGCAAATGACCGCCGACGCGTCATACTTTCCAAGTAAAACAATACGTATCGTAGAGGATGGAAAGATAATAAAATGATCAAAACGAAGTGTGATTTGCGATAGAAAAGAGAATTTTCGAGATCATTGTTCGAATACCGGTTTTGGCCGTACCTTGGATCGAATCAGAGTCTCCTTTTCACGCGATACCTTCCGCCTCGTCGTTCTCTTCATCTTCCTCGTATTCGTCGTACTCGTCTAGCCAAGAAGAGCTATCGTCGGATCGACGTCGACGACGATGCTGCTGTTCTTGTTGATGATAATGATGTTGTGGGAGAGAAGACGAAGAGGAAGACCGAGGAGGGAGCGATGGTGGTGGCGGTGGCGGTGGCGGTGGCTGTGGCGGTGGTGGTGGTGGCGGCAACGGCGGTGGCGATGAAGGAAAAACGTCGTCGAGAATTGTCCGAGGATGATGGGTTAAATTAGCGACGGTACTACCAGCGGCATAGGCCGCAACGGCAGCGACTCAAGCCAAGGCGTAGGGGTGGGTAGCGTGATGTCACAATCCCGGAGCCGCCGTCGCTACCGACGGGGGAGGAGGCGCACTGCTGGTACTCACGCTGGTCGCGTGATGGTACAAAGGACTCTGGTAATACTCTTGATGATGGTGATTGGTCATATTATGCATGGGTCCCCCGCCGGTGTTCGAGCCAGCATGCATCCCGTTGTGATGATGATGACTCGGCGGCGCGGAATGCGCGTGCGGATGATGGGGCGAACTGAAATTCGCGTAACTCTGATGAATCTGATCGTACATCTTCATCTCTGGCGGCTTCGTGTCTTGAGCACCCGGCGAAGTTCCTGCCGTTGCACCGGGTAATAGCCTGGTAATGCTGAACGGGTGGCTGGCAGCCGTATAAGGTGGCTCTTGTTTCAAGCTACCTGCCATGCCGTGATGAAGAGCCGCCGGATCGGACAACAAGTGAGGATGAAGAGTACGACTGACCATAGCCGTAAGCTCGTCGTGAGTCGTACCGAGATCTGGTCCTAACAATCCACCGATATCGGTGGTGTCGCCTTTCAGAGCAGCGTGATGCTGATGAAGACCGGCCGCCGAGTGATGGTGATGATGGGACGAGACCAAAGAATGAAGGTCTTTGTCGTCCTGTTGTTGCGGAGCGTGATGAAGGGACGAGGGCGTTTTCTTGCCGCCATGTCCGAGATCGTGAGAATTAGGGCTGTTGTGACCGGCGGCGGCGGCTGCAGCGGCTGCAGCAGCGGCGGCGGCAGCGACCGCAGCACCCGCCGTGTGGTGCTGTTGATGTTGTTGGTGTTTGTTATTTTGCCTCGACAACTCTTTCTTTTCGTCTTTGAACCTTTTTTGACGGCGCAAGTAACAACCGTTTTCGAACATGTTACCGCTCTCCGGGTGGAGCGTCCAGAAGGAACCTTTGCCCGGTTTGTCGGGCGTTCGCGGTACCTTGACGAAACAATCGTTGAAGCTCAGCGAATGTCTTATCGAATTTTGCCATCTCTGCTGATTTTGCCGATAGAACGGGAACAAATCCATGATGAATTGATAAATCTCCGATAGCGTGAGCATTTTGGTCGGCGCGTTTTGTATCGCCATGGTGATCAAACTAATGTAGGAGTAAGGCGGTTTCGCGTGCGTGTAACTTCTTCGATAAGATTTGTCGGTGCGTGCACGCTGAAGGGCAGAATTCGGAGAGTCCGGCTCGGCTAACGACAATGGATCTCGGCTTACGGCGGTACCACCTCCCGGCGTTAAAGGGCCATAACCAACGGCACTCATGCAGGCGCCACCGCCACCCATTGACGTACCTCCATAGCCGCCCATTCCACCGCCTCCCATGGAAGCCATCCCCATCGCCGAGCTCATCGTGCTCATGTTGAATCCGCCGGCTCCCTGAGGACTGCAACTCGGCCCAACTCCAACGCCCATCGACATTCCCATAGACACGCAGCCCATAGAATTGATCGAGCTGTACGTGGGTGCCATGCTGCCCATGCTGGACATCGCGGCGCTCGTCATGGCACCACCGAGACTGCCAGCCTCGCTATACAGCTTTTGCGACTGGAGCATGGTCATAGAGCTCACCGGCGCCGGGGTGGGCTGTTGTCGAGACGTCAAGCGGGAATCATGAAAGCCTCGGTACCACGACTGCTGATAATCCGGTGACCCCTTAATCTTATATCCTCCCGTACTTCCTTCACTTTAATCCACGCGTCTCTCACTCTGGCACGCGTTTAACGTTTCAATTTCTTTTATCAAGAATTTTTAAACCTTCACTCTCTATATTTTACAATTTACTTTTATTTTCTTTAACTCGAAATCTTTCGTTTTCCTTTTCTTTTCCTTTTTGTCCTTATTCCTCGAGATTACACGAAAAACTCACTAAATCTTTTTACCAGCACTGAAAATCTTATCCTCGTGTCCTCACACTTTGATGAAAGTTCACCGGAATTTCAGTGATAATTTTTCAAAATGAACAATAGACTCTCACGAAAGATATCTATTTCCTATTCGTGCACTTAGTTCTTCTCGAATGAAGGAATGTATGCACGTCCGTCGGGTCGGCGCGAAGGACACTTGATGACACGCGAGTGTATGGTTCTCGTCGTACGCGCACACGGGTCGGCCTCGGTATATTTTCAAATTGGAATTGTTGTTCTGACAAACGACGCGAGACCTGAACACTTACGCGAACGATAATACCGGCGGCGGCTGCGGCGTCGACAACAAAAACAATAACAACAACAACAACAATTAACAATAACAACAACAACAATGATGATAACAACACGACGATGACTATTACGACGACGTCGACGGTGGCGGCGACACTAGCCGTTCGTCGCGTAGAAGCGCGCTCGGGTTGTTTAAATTGTGCCTGTTCAAACCACCTCACCTCTACACTACTCTCTAGCTCTGTATGCCGTATGGATGGAGGCCGGTTAGCGAGTGTAGTCCGCTACTCTTGAGTCGGCCAAGACTTGTTCAAACACAGCCCCTACTCTGCGCAATATGGCGCCGCGCCCGATCGTTCTATTCGAACCAATCGTAACATTTACATCCCCACCGTTCGGTTCGACCAACCAATCGAATAAGCTAGCCTCTCGTGCCAGTGGTGTGGCCGCAGCACCGAGTTTCGAGATGCGATGAATCGTGCTCACAACTTCTCCCCCTCTTTATCATTTCTCTTTCTGTTTCCCTTAGTAGCGCAAGCGCCGTATCCTCGGGGTTCTGTGAAACGTCCGAAGGCCGCTTGCGCAATCTCTCTCCTCTTTCTTGGCCGATAAGCGCCGCCGTCGACGGGTCGGGCGTCGGGTCGGGTCGGGCGTCGGGCGTCGGGTCGGGTCGAGCGTCGGGACGACCACGTTCTCGGGTTCCTTTCTGCTTTCATATTATCTCTCTCTCTCTCTCGTTCCTTCATTCCTTCCTTCCTTCTTTCACTCTCGTTCTCTTTCTCCTCCCCTGCCCCCCGGCCCCTCGCGACGACCGATCCGCCACGCGTTTTTACACCTATCGCTCTCCTCGTCCGACCTTTCTAATCGTCGCCTCTTTTTTTTCCCCCTTTTTTCCCCCTTTTTTTCCCTCGTTTTTTTTTTATCTCGCAACGTTTTTTTACCTGCCTTTATTCATCATCACCTTCTCCTCCTTCTTCACGAGATAGCCCGATGTCCAGCTTACTTTTCTTTTATCTTTATCTTTTTTCCACGCGTCAGCGTGATAGTTTTTTCTTATCCTTTTTACATCTTATCGGAATTTATTTCTATTTGTTTTTTTCCTAAGGTGTACTTTTTTTCGTGCGGTGTTTCTCAATTTCGTTTGGGTGATGCGAACAAGGATGTTATTTTATCGGTGAAGGACTAACACATATGCTGAATTCATCCCATCGTAACAATCTCGGTTTTCTTCCCTATCGGAACGAGGTATTTCGATAAACCTAAATAGATGCATAGATATACGTTTGTTATCGTTTATCAAATTCCTCGTTGTTTATTTATTACCATTTCAAATTATTTTCAAATTTCGTTAATACAACATTTGTTAACAAACAGCTTGATCTTGTCGTAGGCCAGCTATAAATATTTGAACGCAAGATCGATCCTTTTTTGTTTTTGTCGTTTAAAAAAACTACTTGTTAATATATATGTGTATTTACTATTTGTACATTTTAGTTTTATCCGAAATGTAAAGAAAGGATTGTTATATAAGTATACGCTGCTATTACGTGTATTATTTATCTTCAAATTGCGGTGATTCAAAATTAAATAATGACCTATCAAAAATAAATTACGATTAATTTGATTATCTATCATAATAAATAAGAGCAAATTAACGCAATGTTTAACACCAGTTTGTCCCAGAAGTATGCATTTAGAAAACAATTTAACGATCATGTATTTCTTAATTTTCGGGCTAAATAATTAACAAGAATATTGATTTATTTGAAATATCAGTCTGTGTGGCCAAACGTATGCACGTGCATGTACTTATTTATTTATTTGCATTAAAACAATATGAATAAATCAACCGATCCGGCTATCGATGATCGACGTTAATTATTCTTTACTTCTTCTACTAATCTATTTATGTTAATATATACGGATAATGTTCTTTTTTCTTTTTTATAAAAAACGAACGAACGCATATAAACATTTTTATTATAATTATTAGCTTTTGTTGAACTATCATGAAAAAATACAAAGATCGTCCCCTTAAACGATTAGTCACATCTATTGTGCCGTTCCGGCTACACATTTCTCGTTAATTCAATTGTATTTTTTTCTTATTTTCAGCTTACAAACTCAAAAATAGCTATTTTACCGAGAGACCCTTTCTTCCTGCTATCTTTTTTCTGATTTTATTATTTTAAACAAGATTTATTGTACGATTATATATTGTAAACTTATGAATATCTTTCTTTTTATATTAGGAATTTATCTTAATGCATTCTTCTAATATGATTTAAATTTTTCATATATAGAAAACAAATTTATAATGATTTTATCGTCAACCCTAACGACATTTCCATGAATACCTATCTCCACCGCTTTACAAAGAAAACTTATATCTTAATATAGAATAGAATTTTCGTTAGCCTATTGAAAGGTGAAGAAAATATTTTTTTGTAGAAATTACAGGACGGGAGATCATTTAATTTAACGTTCAAGATAAATTGAAAAATGATTCGATAATTATGAAAATAAAAAAAGAAGTAAGATACCTGTCGATATAATATATCACACGCAATAACGGCGTGAGGGGGGAGGGGAGGGGAGGGGGGAAGGGAAATATCGTTGAAAAGTCGAGCGACGAATTGAAGGCACACAACTCGATGATTCGAGCGTTTAGAGTCGGCTAATACTTTACTCGAGAGATTCGTAAACACGCATAGTATAGGTATAGAAGCATTCACGAACGAGCTGCACGTTACAACGTTAGATCCAAGCACCCACCTGTACCGGGTCTTTATCGAGCCACGAATTGTTTGCGGAATGAAAATATTGTCCCTGTAAACAAGTAGCTACAATGTGCCGGGCAAAGCATTCTACGTTATAACAAATCGTACCCCTCGTGCCTCGTCCCGTCTGGATACAAGTGCGCAATCGAGATCTGTTTGTCTCGGTTAGTCTCGGTCCTTAATCTACGATTAAATAACGATTTGCTATTTGACCTAGATTACCGATATCGCGGACTCGATCGATTTGTCAAACGGCCGCTTTTAAACGAAGATACGATTAAACGCGCGCGACAACACTCTTTTGCCTTTGCGTCAAGGTTTGCATTTCCCCTTCTTACCAACCTTTTCTCTCTCTCTCTTTCTTTATTTTATTTTATTTTCTTTTTTCTACACGTACAACAATTGTTATTTTAGCACTTCGAACACCTCTTTACCCATTTCAAAAATTTATAAAAATCCTGTTATTATGGATAACCGATGATCAATGGCAATGAGAAAGAAAAAAGGTTACTTATGACTATTGACCATAATAAAAATGTGTTTGGTCATTTTAAAAACAAATACAAAAGAGAGACGACGGAAGAGGAACGAAGAGAACCGTGGAGATCCGAAGCGACGGTAACTCGTGATTTTCCCAAAAGACTCGACTACTCTACCTGACCCTTCCACGTGGGTGGTCTCATCCCTTTCTTTGTATTATTAACACCAATGATGATTCCTCGCCGCATATAGAAACTATATACCTTCTTTCGTAAGATCATTCCATGTTCATGGAATAATATTTCTATCTACTTTTCTGAAGTTTTTAGATTTTTATGGAATTACGGAAGACAAAGGAATACCGAACAAAATCTATTCGAAATAAAATGTATTCTACGCGATTATAACGATAATTTTCATATTTTTCAAGAAATAATATTTCTCAGATATTATTTATAACGTGACAAGGGATAAAATCTAACCGAGAACTCGAATTATTTTTTTTAACAAAATTGCCTTTTCCAAAAACATAGCCCCGTTATATACTTTTCTAACGTATCTCAAAAGTGAACACACACGATTTTCTTTGGCGTGAAACATTGACTTCTTGACAGCACCTCTGTGTTGTCCTGCTGACGTTAAAGCAACAAATCCTAAAGAATCGCTAGCACCCATCATCATAGACCAAAGTAGAACAAACCTTTGCGATAACACGACAGGTAGATGTATCAGAGTTCTGGTCCATTTCTTCCCGCGAACGTTCCACTCTATTTTTCTAACGCTGACAATCCTCCACCCCTCCACCTTAACCAGCACAGATTTACTGCCTTTATCAACAATCAAAAAAGAATGTACTCAAATAAAATATCTTACCGGTACAAAAAATACAACATACATTTTGTGTAATATTACGAGTATCATTTTAATATTTAATTTGCTTATCAACGAAACGAGATCATTTTTTTTCATTTGTATTAAGTAAATATATTACAGTCACACATAGAGAAATACACATGTAAAAATATAAATTTGCATTAAACGAGTAAACAATTTCAATATACATATATATATATATGCATATCATTTCCAATCGTATTTGTTATTTTTATTTAATACTTTTAATTTAACACAATTTTCACACTCGCAGGAAATTATTGAATTAACTTGTTAAACGTTAAATTAGATTTACCATCGCCGATGGCCGACGTTCTTAATGCTTTTTTTTTCCTTTTTTTTTTATTAGGGTATTCTAAATTCCATTATAGTCGCATGTTTGTCCGTGCTTTTAAATCCGATCAACAATCATTTGTACATTTTTTTAACGATCACTCATAAAGGTAACCAAAACAAAAAAGAAAGAGAACAAAAAGAAAAATTGATGTAAGTAACAACGATAGTTATGGTCTAATCGCGTACAAAATCGTAATATGTCGTATTTACAAAATGTTTCCGATGAAAAATATAATAAATAATAATAAGAATAAAAATAACAAATGATAAAAAGAAAAGAAAGGAGAAAAATAAGAGAAACGTGGGAAGAGTCTATTATTTCTTACTTGTTCTCGATCGAGAGAAAGAGAAAGATAGAGAAGGGGTGATCCGAGCAACCCTCCGACGGGCCGATAGAACCCATCCGATGATTTGGCCCTCGCAAATCTGAGAAAAGCACAACGAAGCACGCACGGCACGTGTCTGGATAGCGTCTGCACCACCTCCGTCACGATAAAGCACACGCAACAAATATCCATCTATTTTTCCTTATCGTATCCATTTTTTATTATCTTTGTTTTTTTTTGCTTTTCATTTTTTAAAAATCGCTGGTCCAGGTATTTTCTCAATCCTCGCCTTAAATGTTCGTAGTTTTCCTTAATCATTTTATTTGTTATAGGGACGATGACCACGAAGAGATAAGATTTTCGGATTCTGAACGATTTAACTATTCATTTTAACTATCTACACTAATTTCCAAGAATTCGGATAGATAGCCTTTCTTTCTTTTTTTACCTTGTTCTATTTATTTAGAAGGTAACAAAAGGAATTATGGACCTTGACTCTCGAACTTTGATTCTCTCACAAAAAATAAAAACAAAATTTAAATGTATCATATAATGACTCATCGAAGAAAACTTCGGTTTCTTGTACTTTGAAATCTGAATGCTAGTGTGACGTCGAGGGAAACGTGAAGAAAAATTAGTCACGAGATACGAAATGAGAGAGCAAATGTAAAATGTCGCGAGGGGAGTGCATCATCGTAGGTAGAGAGCTCTGTTCGTCGCGGTTCTCGTCGGAAAACGAACAGAGGAAATAGACTTTTCTATATTTTTTTTTCCCTCCCCCGTTCTTTTTTCTCTTCTTATTTCATTTTTTTTTTCCTCTTTTTTTCCTTTTTTTTCCTTTTTTTCTCCTTTATTTTTCTCTATCTCTCTTTTTTTCAACGTTCTCCGACTAGAAAGGAAGCTCTTTCAGTACATGTAAAAGCACGTACGGTCGGGGGGATCGATTGTGCAAACAAGAGCCCAGCTCCCTCTCCCCTTCCTCTTCCACCTCCACCACCACCTCCACCACCACCACCACCTCAACCTCTTTCTCCTACCCCTCTTTCTCCATTTTCTATCCGCCGTTCTCTCGTTAAATTTCCGTTTCACCGTTTCCGTGTAAACGTTGTAAAAAGGTAAAAGTTGTAAGCAGCCTATCGTGCCAGGGTAAAAAAGAAAAAAGAAAAAAGACAAAAAAAAAAAAGAAAAAGTCAAAGAAAAAGAGAACGAAAGAAAGAGAGAAAAACCGAACGAAACAAAAGGAAGGAACAAAAAAAGAAATAGAAAAAGGAAAAGAGAAAACGAAAACATTGACTTTTAAACCTTTTCTTTTGTATTATCGTTCGTCTATTCCAAATATTTCCAACGTAATTTTGAAAGGATCTAACTTAGCCTCCTCAAACCTCGTTTCTTGATCTTACCATGGATTCATTTTAGACGGGTTTTAACTTTGATGAATATCATATGTACGTTTAGGTAAAGGAAAATTCGTCAGGCTTGACGATCGATAAGGGACGCTAAAGGTAGTCCAAGGACAGGTGGTGGATGAGTCCGCGGATCAAAAGGCACAAATTAGCGGCGATTTTTAGTCCGAGTATCCTTTCCCTCTACCTCTCCCATACGTCACTCTACGACCGAGTCAATTTTAATAATTTCAACCCCCACTATCCCTTTCTCTCTCACACTCCCGAACAGCAACGTGCTCACGCGATGACTCGTAGAGTTCACCGACAAGTTTCAATTATCCGAGAACCTGAGTTACTCCCACGAGTTAACTTCTCCATGGGATATCGATCGTGCCGTTCGGTGAATGCACATAGGAAAAGCTAACGCGTAACTTGTCTTTTTTATTTTTTTTATTATTATAATTAATTATTATTATTATTATTATTATTATTTTAGACTATTAAATACCTCTTACGTTATTAGTTAAGTATATATCATCGGAAGTGGCCATCGTTTGGAGTTATCTTCAATGAATTTCGTATCTTCGCGTTATTTTTTTGTTATTTTATTTTATTATAATTTATGAAACTCTTTATTTGCAATAAGAAAATGAAACCTAATATTTCTAACCCATCTTTCTTCCCCTCTCTCTCTCTCTCTCTCTCTCTCTCTCTCTCTCTCTCTCTCTCTCTCTCTCTCTCTCTCTATTTATCTCTCTTTTCTTCCGTTCTCACCTGCATACTGCGTTACGGCTACAATCGTCATAAAAGCATTCAAAAGTACCTGCGCACAAGGTAACACAACCAATTCATTGCTCAAGATAGGAAGAACAAAGGTTCGCAGTTGTACGCGCAAACGAAAAACTTTTTTGTCGCAAATGCCGCCACCATAAAACCATAATCGATTTACGACCGCGGTACTTTTCGCTCTGATCCTTCGAAGGTTTCTTTCGAAGGTATATATATAGATTCTTTGTAAATCTATCGCCGAGAAATGACGACGATAACGACAATGATGATGATGATGATGATGATGATGATGATGATGATGATGATGATGATGATGAATCTTGAAAACATGTTTTCATCATTACCGATAAATACGCATGCGTCAGTTGATCAAATTAAAGAAAAATAAATTGTAATTCTATCTATACGACTATAAATTGACTCTTATCATTTTTTAATTAGAAATAAAATAATTCGGCATAGTAGTTTATATTACGCGATAAATATCTGTAAAAGAAGAAATACAGATAGAATCTTAGCGGGGGTGGAAAGTAGAAAGTTTCCCTTAGCATTACTTTGGATCTCGATGTCGAAATAATGTTTTCTTACTACCTTGTTATCGAGATACTACCGAGATACCTTTTACTGTTTCAGACGATCTTCGTGGGAGGTTGCGCAGCACGCAAAAACATAGATCCATACGCAAGAATAACACCTTCCGCGTCTGGCTAATCACAACACTTGGAACACCCTATACCTAGACGAGATACGACACTGGATAAACATTCGATCATCTCGAACGAAACGAGCAAGAAGGAAATGAGTAAGAACTACTACGATTAACGACCTAAGGAGAAACTAACTTAAACGTTTTCTGCTAATCAAAATAATACACGGTTTCCCCGTATCTACAATATATACAATGTACTATACCAACAATCTATTTTATAAGGAAAAATCGAAATAATCGATTACTAAAACGATACGCGTGTACTTACATTACTTTTAATCTTTTTAAAAGAAAAGAGAAAAATCTCTAGGACGATGTTGATTTTTCTCATATTTTTATTATTCGAACTGACGAAAATTAACCGTACAAATTTTTCTCTTTATCCCTTCTATCGTTATATTATATCATAAGGAATTATTAAATAGATTAAAATTCGGCTAACAAAATATTTCACATGTTTTATCATTTTACAAAAATAATACAATATACGAGAGAAGAATCCGATTGATTATTTCGAATATACGAACACGATGTATTTCTCTCTCTCTTTCTTCAGCGCAGCATATCATGGCCCTACTACTTATCATAACTCTTATCATAATTTATGCCTCGTCGAACCTACACACGACGACGTTTAAATTGTCACCTGAGAATTTCTTACCTCGTATGCAAAGTGATATAAAAATATACACGTCACGGTGTATATGCGTGTATGTGCGTAAGCGTGTGTATGTAACGAGGGAATTGCAGCAGCCGTTTAATTACGATACGAAGCTATTCATTTGAAAAGTACTGAACTGAAAAATGCTGCCGCAAAAAAAAAATAAATATTACAAATACGGTTAACATTAAATCATATAATATATATGTATATATATATATATATACATATATATATATACAGTTCTATCAAAGATCGTTATTACAAAGAGATTAAATATTGAATATATGCGATTCTGCGATGACACACAGGTTTGTTTAATCAGAAGCACTACAAAGTCTATAAAAAATGTTCATGAAAATACACTTTAACTTGAAATTTCATAGTACGGGAAACCGTACTTACATTATTTACGGCCTTATCTTCCAATAGTCTTTTTTTAGATAATTATTTATTTATTATTTCGATTAAGAGACGAATTATTTGCTTAGTTAAACTTATATACTACATATAAACATTATCATTAGTAGGTGTTTCATTAGTAAAACGGTTAACTATTTAGTTTGATCGTATTTACTCTCTTTATGATAAAACTCTATACATGGAAGAGAATAAAAATAAAAATAAAAGATAAGAAAATCCCGATCTTTGGTTAATTCTAATAAAAACAATATATCACTTAATTATCGCTCCTATTGTGTTTTTACAATCCAACTTAAACGTTATGTTGTTCCTGCAAACACTATATGCGATAAGGCAATTGTTAACTTTTCGAGTATCTAAAACTAATTTGATTAGATCAATTACTAGAATTTATATAAAATATTGATCGTCGTTAGAAAAGTTTTAAAAATAAAATATTATTATTTATAGTAAGTTAATATATTTAAAGCGCCAGACCAGTATAAACACTTTTAACGAATTAAACTCTTTATCGAAGTTACGTCAAATTTTGGAATATAAATTTTCCTATCAACGACAAAATTATATGTATTTTTTCTAAATATGTATACTTTTAAAAAATGTCATAAATATTTCGACTATTTGAGCGTCGATATAATTTATTGCTACGTCTTAGGACAAAATAAATTGCTTTGATATTTTGCTCGCACGTTATTTATCTAACAATAACGAGTAATAACTGCAAATTAATGTTACTAGATCGAATGAAATTTAAACAAAATTCAAACACGAAAGTGCAAAAGAATTCAAACTGCAACGCTCTCTGCTCGACTGTAATAATTAAATCATTCGTTTAAAATACATTTCTATTAAATGTTATTCTTTTGTTATATACAATTTATATTATTTTAATATAATAAATCCTACATGCAAATACGAAAATATAATAATCTATTCGACGATGATCATGCAATAACATGATCATTTCTTCCTTAACAACTATTTTATTTTTATTTTTTTTTCAATTATTCATTCCTAATATTACTAATATTTTTCCCTACGTTTATATTATAGTTTATTATAATTTACGAACTAATCAATGAAGAATCACTACTTTATCGTTGTATATCGTTTAAATGAAAATATTATGGACGCAATAAAGATCGTGCATTCGCTATTTTCGCTTTAAAAAAAGAAACAAGTAAAAATAAAAAAAAGAGAAACAAAAATGATTTGGCAGTAATTATATCGAAAAGAATAATACGCGGTAATTAATCATTTCAGATCTTCAAGATAATTTGTTTTCGTTTGAGAACAAATACGTAAGAGTATATGTGTATCTTCTATATATACCTATATACATATAAAATGAACAATTTTTACAATAATATGAATAATAATAAGAAGCTCTTCGCGTATACAAAAAAATGGGGAAAGTATTAGAGAAAAAAGCAAAACCTCTCGTTCATCGGCTTTTACTTAAAAAAAAGAGAAAAAGAGAGATAAAAAAATTCATTTAAAGCGATCATTCATTTAAGTACTCGAAGTTAACGTTAACGACAAAAAATAAGTGAAACCATAAGATTTTTAAGTCAAATACGTAGAAGGGATTGTGAGAGGGGACGAAGGAAGTTAACAATAAATTATTCTTAATAACTAATCAAGCGCATGGAGAGAGATATTAATATCGAGGAATATCGAGGATAAAGAGGGATGATGAGATTATTTTTTAAAGGTCGGTAACGGGTCCTGAAAGATTCATACAATTGTCGTGTATATTAGTTAGCTTAGAATCAGAACGATTAGTATAATCCTTGAAATTTGTCGAGGTAAGATCCTCGTCGATGTTTAAACCGATTTCTTCGTCTTCTTCGGTCTCGGGTTCGTTTTCGAGTCGCGAGGATGCCAAGGACGACGACGACGACGACGACGACGACGACGACGATGATGATGACGATGATGACGACGATGACGGAGGCGGGGGTGGAGAAGAATTTTTCGAGGCACGACATCGTTTTCCCGTAGAAGTAATATCGAACGAAGGGCAGGTAGACGAACGACGATTGACGGAAGAGAAGACACGTTCCTCTTCGTCGCCGTCGTCGTTGTTTACGGTGACCTTTGCCTTTTTTCGTAGACCGTCCATCAGCTTGTCCATTCTGACAAATCACGTTTCATTTCATTTTCATTCGTTACGTTCTCATCCGTTCAAATAGGACCACCTCTAATCAGAACCGATCAAGCACCATCAAAATATTCAGAAGCAAGCAAAGGAAATGTGCTGGTATAAAGCAGTGCCACGTACTATAAATTATAAAAAAAACAAATAAATAAAAAAAGCAAAGAAATGGAAGAAGAATAAAGAGAGGGAGGAAGGGATCGTGCCGATTTGTGCAAAGGGAGGAGAAGGTGCGTAAGAATTAGAAAGTCTAAAAAGACTTGTGTGATTACCAAACAGTGAGAGATATGCAAGTATATAAATACTTACTTACATATGTGCATACGTGCATACGTGCATACGTGGAGTAGCGTAAGAAGACGTGTAAACGTAAACGGTGAAGGAAAAGAAATGGGAATGGAGTAAGAAAAAAAAAAAGAAATGAAACACATTATTAACAGGAATAGAGATAGTAAATAATAAAAAGGACGATATTCCAGAGACATTCCAAGCATCCTACGAATCATTCGTTTTTCCCGAGAGTACGCGCAGACTAACCAGACTATTGCAATCGTTTAAAAAGAACGAGATCGCAGGAAGGATCAATATAGGTAATAAAGCTTGTGAAATCCTGTTGAATATGATCGACGTAATCTCGGGTAAAAAAAAAAAAAAAAAAAAAAAAAAAAAAAAAAAAACAAAAAAAGATATAAAACTAGGAAGAGTGCATGCACGAGGAGTGTATGATAGAGACCTACGTGCTATTCGACATGTACATAGTAGTAGCCTCTAGCAAGCCCTTTGAAGCCCCCTTTTGCCCTCGGCGATACGCCGACGAGTGGTTTGCTTTTTTGTCGGGCCCCGCGCGTACGGAACCTAAATGTAGGCGGTGGTGTAGGTGGCGCGTGAAGGTGCTGTCAGGACTCTGGAGGTCAGGATTCCCGCTCCCGAGCAAAGATCTTTTGGTACGAAGGAGCCACCGTCGACGACGGTGACCTCCGGTACGTTCTCGACGACGAGCCGATCGCGAGGAGAACGACGAGCTTCCTCTTCTTCCTTTTCTCTCTTTTCGTTAATTATCGGGGAGGTGTTCGAGGGTGTCGTTGCTACCAATCGCGTCGTCCAAATGGAATCTTCTTTATTATCATCGGTCTTTCTCGCCGCGGCTGTTTTTTTCTTACGAGATCTCTTCGATCCTTTTCTCTGATTGGAACTGGTATTGGCATTGGTATTGGTTCCGGTTCCGGTTCCGGTTCCAGCTCCAGCTCCTCCTCCTCTTTCTTTTTCTTTTTCTCCTCCTCCGGCAGCTCTCGTTCTCTCTGCCTCGTCGATTTTCTCGTTTCGCCGATTCTCTTGAACTGACTCTAACTGTTCTACGTTTTCCTCGTTGGCAAGCAGAAACAATGGTGGCTCGGCTGGGAACATGACCATTTTGTCGTGTTCCTTCCCCTCGTTCATAGACTCGGCAAGGCCGAACTTTAGCAAATTGGCCTTCTTCTCCTCCTCCTCCTTCTCCTCCTCCTGTTTGTTATCGCGGTCAAGAAGACGGTAATACTCCGAAGATCGAGAACGGAGATCGGAGACGACGGACGTGCTGGGAATCGAGGAGGAGATGGCGGGAACAAGGTTGCAGGTCTCGGTAAGAGCGGTACGCACGGGGGTGCTCGTTATACGGGGCGTTTCGAAAATTACAGGCGTGACAGATCTTGATATCGCATTTACGCACTTTGTCCCGTGCTTTGTCGTTCCATCGGTCAGATTCCTAGTTGCTAGTGCCTCCTGTAGTTCCCGTCGCAAGGCCAAAGTCTCCTCCTCGAAAGCTGCTATCTCTCGGCCCTCGTTGCTATCCCGGAATAGAATTGCTCTTTATTACCGTACCGGCCTATCGTTTCTTATCACAAACTATTATTACTTTTAACGTCCGATATCACGAACAAGGAGTGTTCACCCTAGACAACGAATACCATTCTCTCCTGGTCAAAAATATTCAACGATAATCCAATTTATTCATTATTATGATTATTTATTTACCGTCAAAATGATTTCGATCACAAAACGTACGAATACTGGACGAGACAATCATTCATTTTTTGTTTCTTTTTATCCCCAATGCAACAACATATTGATACGTTTTCGCGATTTATGTAAAACGATGTTATACGTGTATCGTAGGACTTGACGAATATGATCGCTCTAATAGTTACGACAGATAGAGAATAATACTATATGAAATTTTGTAAAGACCTCTTTCCTTCATCAAACCCTCTTACCACACAAGAAGCATCTTTTTCATACGTTAAAAGGTAACACAAAGCCACTCACTTTGCGCTCGTCTTCAGTATAGCTACTTCTTCCTCCAACTTGGATACTCGTCGTTCGCTTTCCTCTTTCTCCTTCACGAGCTTTGATATTTGGCCCTGAACAGGAAAAAAAAAGGTATGTTTTTATATGTTTCATAAGAGAACGGTATAAACGACGATAAAAAAGAATAAAAAAGAATAAAAAAGCATAATTTATAAAGACACGTCGATTTATTGGAAAGATAGAAGGACGCGATGATAAAATTGAACGCGTATAAATATCGTCGTATTTTATTCGATCGCAACGAGCATCGTCCATAGTTAACTGAACTACATTTACATCTACGACAATGAAACGTTCCCGGAGGTTCAATTACGAGATTGCCAATAGGCAAGCGGCATGGCGGTGGCCGCCATCGCTTCGGTTGATGAGGCTAATGGATGGTTGAAACCTGAGAAGACAGGGCAAAGAGGGAAAAGAGGACGAGGGAGACCGGCTCTGACAGCCGTTAAGTGCCCCATCCTCCACCTTTCTCCACTCCTCAAACGCGTCCTTCTCCAGGCACCTCCCTTCTCTCTCCCTCTTTCTCTTTCTCTTTCTCTTTCTCTTTCTTTTTTCTTCTCGTTCTCTCTTTTTCTCTGTCTCTAGCATTCATTCGCTCACTCTCTCATCCCGTCTCTCTCCCCCATGTGAAACCTAATCACTTTTACCACGTCACGGATATTTCGTATTATGTCTACATTAGGTTCTCCGATATCAACTGACAGTCAGTTATAACGTCAATATCTCCCTTTGGTCAGGAATAAGATCATTCTTATGACGCTACCCTTATCTGTATATGTCCTTATTTCACTTCCGTATTTTCTTTTTTATCTATTTTAATGAATTTTAACTTGTTTAAAAAGAAGGTATTCTTCATCTTATCGCTTGGAAAAATTCAATCAATTTTCATCTACGCGTTATATTAAAAAGATGACTTTGATCAAGTATTTAACATGAAAAAAACAAATAAATGAAGGTAGAGATAAATTTTCCTTTGTGTGGGGAAATGAAGAAAATGATAAAATTTTCACGCTCCAAGTTGGAAAAATACGAACATAATCATCTGATAGAGATTCGCGTATAAGTGATAATCGGAGGGAAAGGATCGAAAAAAGAAATGAACAAAGGATCTTGGAATCACCTGGCTATCCTAATCAAACAAAACGTGTACCAACACATAAGTAGTATATCTACAATAGTTACGTGAAAGATCGAGTCACTAAACTTTGGAAAAAAAAAACTCTATTTTAGTTATAAATAAGATATTTCGAAAATATACAAAATTATGAATCATTTATCCTGATATTTTGAAACTTGCAATATTTTTACAAGATCTATTCTCGTTATTAATTGCTTTATATTTTTTATATTAAATAAAATTTTGTAAATATTATTTAATATATAAAATATAAGTGTATACATACCTTTAATAATTCTATATCCACGAATCTTTGATTAGATTTCTCCTCCATCATAGATTGTATTTTTATCACTAATCCTTCCTCGCACATTTTGTTTGCTTCCCTGATCTCGCGAATAAGATCTATATAATCATAAGAAAAAAATAATTTACATAGTATTATAGTAATCTTCCCTTATATGTAACTCATTCAAAATCAAAGAAAATAGTAAAATTTTACCTGACAACATTCCAGGTTGATAATCAGAACTATGTTTAAATTCTGAAAATTTTAATTTCATTGTCTCCAATTCGAATTTAGCCTCGCTTAATTCCTTGAAAAGTTGGCCATTACTTTTTTTTAATTCTGCCATCTAAAAAAGAAATTTATTAATGAATACGTATAATTTACTCAAATATATCATAAGATTGTATTTGAAAATTTATATATTTTAATCAACAATGTATTATAT